GGAATTGGCCGGTGACGCCTGCGGGGGTGTTGCATGAACATTGCGCATGACACTGGGCGCAATGCGCTTCGCACAAATGCGTAGTTGGTTCGGATAAGTGCTAGGATCAAAGGACGTTAGTGTATTTTAAGGAGTAATTAACTGACTGAGCAGTCATGTGGAGGTTCCGAAGACAAGGTTGGCTGTGGTGCAACCTATATCCGCATTGAAAGTAGAACAGAGTTACAACAGCACTGAAGAGATTGTTGGACCACCGTGACGGAACGAGCTGCGCCATAGTGGTCGTCTTTAACTGCCGATGAATAAGTTCCATGATGCCACTTTGCTAAGTAGGGTATGTCGTCTTTCGAATCTAGTTAGTGTAAAAGTAGGAACGTGGGCGCGTGGAACAATTTTGACTCAAAGTGAGATCCATTGTCACGTGTGGCAGTCGTAAGAACATCAATGTTGGATATGCAATGCGTCAGAAATGCCTTCGCAGCGATTTCGGCGCTGATATCTGGAATGGGTGCAGGAACCTGCCACCGCGTAAAAGGGTCCACACAAGTCAGCAAGTAGGTAGAAATGTTGGAGGGTGATAGAGAGCCTGCTAGATCATTGTAGGTGTGACTGAAACGCGCATCATGATTGGCGAAGTTACCTACCGGAAAGCAGTATGTCGACAAATTGTGCCCCTTTGGAATGGGAGATAAGATGGGGTCCAATGTCGCACATCTCGGTTTATGTAGGGGCAGACGAATCGGTCAGTGATTAATTTCACTGCCGTCCGAACTACAGGGTGGGATAGGCCGTGACGGGTGCTATAGATTTGTCGTCACAAAGATGCTGGGACGAAAGGACGTTCATGTGTGATCAAAGAGCCAAAAGTGATAGCAGCAGGTCCTATAGGAAGAGAGACATCCTGAAGAAGAAAAGAGGATCGTTCGCTGCGAAATCTGGGATGTTCCTCGGCTGATTATTTAACGTCAGTCATGAGCGTAAAGTTGATGGGATTCGTTGTGATAGAATCCATCTTAATTCGAGATGGGGCGTCAGCAACCACGTTTCACTTACCCTGGGCATATTGGATCTCAGAGGAAAATTGCGAGACGACGTCTAAATGAAGAATTTTTCTGAGGTGAGAGTCGACTAGGACTAGCCCTTAGAACGAAAACAACGGACCTGTGGTCCTTTAGCAAGAGGAATTCACGACCCTCGAGAAAGTGTTTTAAATGTCGAATGTATAGGTAAGTGACAAGGAGGGCTCGGCTGAATATTTTGCAGCGAGTCTCTATTGGACTAAGCATTTTTTGAAAAGAAAATCACCCATATTATACTAGAGAGATGCGTCAACGGCAGTGCTGGAAGCATCCGTCATGAAAATTAGCGAGCATATGAGTAAGGATGGACAATAAGAGCTGCCTTCGGAAGAGCAGCCTTGAGGTTGTTGAAGAATTTGACG